CTCTTCGTCTTCTTTGATGCCTGGCTCGGCTTCAGTCCCCGCCTCGGCCAAAGTTTTCTGGCCTTCATCGGCCCCTCTCTTCTTCTTGGCCACAGGCTTTTTGACAGCTTCGGCGCCGCCTTGAGAACTACTGGCTGACTTCTTGGCGGCCTCAGCAGCCTGGGCGGCCTTGAGCTCCGCATCGGCCTTCTTGGCGGCTCGAGCCATAAAAGATACGCGGTCCATAACAAAACCTGCACAAAACAAAGGAACATCAGTAAAGCAATAACTAAAAACGCTACGAGAAGGGTAAGTAGACGAAGGACAACCTTCAGCTTCAGCAGGAACACCAAGACAGGGCCCATCGGCCTGCTCATAAGAACCGGTGATCTTCGGCCAGAAGCCATCGTCCACATCACCAGGACAATAGTACCTCACGAAGCCAAGGGCGGCCATTTTATACTCCGTCACATATGTCTTTATACTCCTCGGCCCGCCCTTGATAAAAGCCTCCACTTGGTTACTTATTTCAGCGTTCCAAGGGGGATTGTGCAATTCAAACATGCCGTCATGACCAACGGACGAGAAGAACCCGCCTCGGCCCAGGGTAACAAAAACAAACTTCGCCTTCCAACCATGGATGGACGAAGGCAGATCTGTGAACGTCCTCCTCTTGGGAACTTGCTGAAGGGCTGCATAACCAGCACAATTCTGGTGGCTCCCTCGGCCTATCCTATACAAATTCATAAATAAACCCATCGTCGCCGAGATGCCCAACTCAGCGCACCGGATCAGGAAGCCAACGATCAAAGAATAGCTATTTGGGGTCAACAACGCCGGAGGGAGGCCCACCATGTTCAAGTATTCCGTTATGAAGGGATGAAGGGGGAACCTCAGACCCTTCGCAAAGCTCATCGGATAAATCCCGAAATAATCCAGTGGGGGATTCAGCACATGATCCGTCGGCTTCGGCGCTCGAACCCGCCCATATGGCCCCACATACAACTGGGCGACATGATACTCGCCGAGGGTACCCTCCGGCCGAATGATGTAGAGGTTACTAAGATCAAGCCGCGAATGCCCCTGTGGTACACCCTTCTGCTTCTTTCGCCGACACGGTCTCTTCATCTCACAAGCCGAGGGGCCTTCCCCTGCTACAGAAGATAACGGAGGGGGGCAGGGGATAGCGGTCGATGAAGAGGCCCCATCCCCCCTCAGAGGCGAATTGGACGTCGCTTCATCCTCACCAGAGTTTTGAGCACCACCGTCCTCGCTTAAACGTTCCTCGTCCACCGAGGTACGATAATCAGCCGTATTTTCCATCTCGACGGCCAGCTCGTCCACCAGGTTCAAGTCGATTCGAGGCGATTCGTCTTCCTCGTCAAAGGGCCAGTCCTCTTCGTCCAACGAGGCTGTTAAATCAACGGGGGAGGGAACGCTACGGCCGTTAGGAAACGGCATAACATCTAAAAGCTTATCCCTAAGGGTGTTTTTTCGGATCAAAGTGGTTTCCCTACAAACACTAGATCTAACCCCCTAGGAAGCAAAGTATAAGAAAATAAAGAAGAACAGGCAAGAATCTGACCTTTGAAGATTTGAAGATCTGAAGGGAGGTCGATGAACACTTGAAGAAACCTCGGGAACTTTCTCTCTCTAGAATCAAATGGGCAGCAATTCAGCACTTAGTAGGAAACGCAAATGGGAGGAAGGCCTCGGAGCAAGGGGTATTTAAAAACACCCCTCCAACGGTCACTACACGTGGCAACCTCCAATTGGCCACCTCAACGGCGCCTCTCTTAAAGCCAATCAGCGCCTGTCTTTTCACATTCCACTCTAAAGCCACCACTACGGCCCAACAGGCCCCAAAACTAGGGGTAGGCACCGGCCTACTCGCTCAAACGCAATAAGAAACTCGCTACGGCCCAATTTACCAAGGAAATGGCCGCATCAGCAAACACGCTACGGCCCCAAAGCAACCCCAAGAAACACAAGTACCGCTACGGCTACTCACACGCACATCGTTTGATGATGACCCTGGTATTGCGGCCTTCGTCCAAGGGTTCTCCCACAGGGTTACCTTGGACGGGTTCGCCTAAGGGTTGGATTCACGACTAACGCATGGGTACCGTATCGGCTCGAGAACATCATGACTCCCTTGTGCCTCGAGTACTCTTCGGCCAAAGGAGTGGGGGACTGGGGGACTGTATCGGCTACAAAAGGGGAAACAACATAAATGGAAACGCAACGGCCTTAAAAAACAAAGAGGTACACTACGGTTCACCGATAGCAAGAGACAAACAAATACACCTCAACGGCACAAAGATCGCATCGGCTACGAAACCTAGAAGTTTAAAAGCCCTAAGGCACAAGACCACCACGCAACGGCTATACACACTGAGGGATTGCGCCGGCTCACCAAGGCGAGAACACCGCAAAGCAAGAATGCTTCGGCCACGTGACAAGATCAAAGACAGGCATCGCATCGTCCTCACGAACAAAATCAGTCATCCCCATTTCACAAAAACAAGGACCATCACTACGGCCAAAAAATAACTAGGACCTCTTCGGCCCCAACAAAATGGTAATAAAACAGGCCAATCCCTCCATAATTCACATCTACTGGAAGAAGAAAGCGCGTCGCGTCGTCCTCGAAACACTCTTCACAAATAGCGCATCGGCCCGCACCAAAGTTATGAAATCCTCAAGCGCGCCCCGTCTACATCAGATGAGGGAACCGCTTCATCCCAAAATCAAAGCAGAACCTCTTCAGGCCACCAAGCACCTCGAGCTCACACAGCGGCCAGCCAGAAAGGAACAAGTACTCCCTTTCGCTTCGGCTTCACCTCAGCTCAGAGAGTGGGGGACTCCTGATAGAGTATATGGGCCTGGACCCCATGGCCCACATACTCAAGTCAACGACGACCAGAAGAACACCCACGTGGCCCCCTTCGGCCAGTGGGCCCACATCGGCCAGAAACCAAACCGGCCCAGGAAGTACGCATGAACTCCCGGGGGACCGCATCGGCCCGTGGACCGCATCGGCCATGGGGCCGCATCGGCCAAAGACACCGCATCGGCCAGACTTCGGCCGGGCAGAATGCATCTCTCTACTTTATTTACTAAGTATTGTACACAGCCCATTAGTGGCCCTATTTCGCCCAAAGAAGGCATGATTATTGTAATGGGCCTCCTAAGCCCATGGCTAGGAGCCCAAATCCACATTTTTTCCTATAAATAGACCCCTTGGGGCTAGTTATAGGGAGTTGAGAAAATATAATTACTCACTTTCTCTCTCTAGCTCTCACTTCTCTCTAGAATTAAAACTCTATCAATTATTATTAGTATTTGAAGATTCTAGAGTTTTAGTTTTCCTTAATTGTTTACTTTATCTAGCATGAAGGGGTAGTATTATAATTATCAGCACTATTAGGGCTGAATCACTGCTACATGTCTTGGTATTTATATTTAGTTCCTTCGATTTGATTGGATAAGAAATGGATGATAAATATTAAAGACGAGTCTCTCTCTCTCTCCTCTCTCTCTCTCATCTCTCTCTCTCTCTCTCTCTCTCTCTCTCTCTCCTCACTCCTCTCTCTCTCTCTCTCTCTCTCTCTCTCTTCTCTCTCTCTCTCTCTCTCTCTCTCTCTCTCTCTCCCTCCCTCCCCCTCCCCCCCCCTCCCCCCTCCCCCCCTCCCTCCCTCCCTCCCTCTTGTATCTACAAGAGATAAGCAGAACTCTTGATGTTATCAGATTAGCACTCGATGCTCTTGCAATAAGGGACCACCTCTTGCAACTCTGAATGATCAGCTCTGAAATATGCTATAGCCGAACTCTAGAAGAGGGAGGGCTGATCAAGTCTCTTTTGAATCAGTGATTAACTGATTACTAATGAGGGATCAGCTCTTGCAACTCGTGCTCCATCTAGAATGAAATTTTTAATGACCTCTGGAATATTTCAGAGAAAAAAAGGGTGTACCCTGGTGTGATCATTGCAAACGACCTGATCACACCAAAGAAACCTGCTGGAGAATTCTTGGAAAACCATCTGAGTGGAAACCTAATAGTGTGTAAATTTAGCAACTAATAACTTCCAGGAGATTTTTAGAAAGGAACAGATACAAGCTCTTCAGAAGATGTTGCAAATCACACCCTATGAAGACAAAGGGATTGCGGTTGTTGCCCAACAAAGTCTCATGTGCATTTGTAACAAGTACATCCGGTGAAAATCCTTGGGTTGTTGATTGTGGTGCTAGTGATCACACGACCGGGGATAGGAATATACTTGATGAATTCCAACCAGTACCGAATGGAAGAACCATACGAGTTGCTACTGGAGAAGGCGCACAATGGGGGGGGGGCATTGGTACAGTTGTCATATCCTAGAATATAAAACTGAAATCTATGTTATACGTTCCCAATCTCGATTTCAATTTGTTAGCTCTTATTTAACTAATGAGGGATCTAATTTGCATAACTATCTTAACCCCATCTGCATGCATGTTTTAGGCTTTGATTTCGGGGAAGATAATTGGGAGTGCTAAAGTGTGTGATGCTAGCACATGGAAGTTGAGCATTTAGGAAAACGTCTAGTTTCATCATTGTTTCATGTTTTGTGTAAAAATAATGTGATGTTATGGCATCATATATAGGTTGGATCATTCATACATGTTAGACATTCTTATACTCCAATCCCGTACAAATCCTCTCATCCATTATTTTTATGAAAGACAAATATGAAGTTGGGTCAACTCTCTAGCGTTTTCATCAGATGATACAAAATCAATTTGCAACATAATTCAAGTTCTCAAATCTGATAATGCAAGGAATACTTTCACTTTGAGTTGGCCAACTACCTTACTCAGTAGGGAATTGTCCATCTCACATCATGTGTTGACACCCCGCAAAAAAACGGTGTTGCAAAAACGGAAAACATACATCAACTAGAGGTAACACATTTGTTACTATTATCTGGTTTTGTTCGAAATCATTTTTGGGGAGAAGCTGTGTTAACTGCCACATACCTTATCAATAGGATGTCTTCCCGAGTCATTGACTTCAAAACTCCGCACCAATTTCTACGGTCTAGCTTCCCTCACATTCGATTTTTGTCCCTGTTATAACTGAAAATATTTGGTTGCACCTCATTCATTCATAATCATCAACCAAATCGTAGCAAACTAGATCCTAGGTCATTCAAACGCGTCTTTCTGAGATATTCCCGAACCAGTGTAGTTATACATGATATTCTCCTTCCACCATAAATTCTACCATTCCATGGATGTCACATTCTTTGAACACAAACTCGATTATTACAAAACTGAAATTGGGTGGAGGGGGGGGGGATTGTGTGAAATGTCAATTTTTGGACTATCCTACCTTATTCGCTTCTGAATCGAGTCACCTTGCGGATATTCCTAATCGATTACGGATACCGGTTGGAGTTGAAACTAACAGCCCAAATCCGAGTGGTCCTGAATTTGTTCCAAACCCATCAGCCGATGGTTCCTTAAATAAAGATGTCCAAAAGATGACATTGTCTACACTCGGCGCCCGAGACAAAAAAATAAGGTGGAAAAGCAAGTCACTACTGAAGCACATAACCATGAACTCTTCCCGGATTCACCAAGTAATACTCAACCTAAAGATTCCAGTTCTTATGTTTCCCTTGATGATGAGTCAGGTGATTTAAATATTCTAGTTGCATTACGAAAAGGGAAGAGAAGTTACATTATGCATCCAATGGAGGGGTAGTATTGTAATTATCATAACTATTAGGGTTGAGTCACTCCTACATGTCTTAGTATTTATATTTAGATTCTTCTATTTGATCGGATAAGAAATGAATGATAAATAATACAGATGAGAGTCTCTCTCTATCTCTCTCGTATCCTCTTGTGTCTACAAGAGATAAGGAGAACTCGTGAGTATTATTAATATTAAATAACATAATTAATTAAGAAAAAATGTTTTGAACTGGAATCACCAGAAGTACTATGCGGTTCCGGTTTTAGTTTCGATTTAATCGGAAATCGCGAACAGGTCTACTAAGCCCGAAGATGGAAGGTCTTAATAATTTATTTATCATATACTCCTTAGACCCTATTAGTCATAAGTGATGTGTTCCTCCGTCCTGTTAGTCATGAGTTGTTGGGCCGGATAAATCATTAAATTATGGTTGAAAAATCAATATACTCACACTTATTACAAAAGAAAATTAGCAGGTCTAAATATTTTCATTCTTTTGGGGCTCCACCTGTATATGAGTTACGAGTTAACTTTACAAAATTTTAGGCAATATAATTTTTGAAGAGCAGGATTTAATTAATGTTGTATTTCAGAATGGATTAAGTGTATGATCTAAATTTAGACACACACTGAAAGAAAAGTGAATTCTTAATCTAGAAGTTTTAGTTTAAAGCCATTAGACAATCATAATTCATCAACACTTTAGCTGAATATGTTAACCATGAATATGTTGTATTATTTCCGTTCACTAAAGTAGTTTGGCTCAAAACTATGAATATGTTTGAGCCATGAACACTTTTAATTGGATTGATTTTAGTCACATATCAGAATAGACTAAATAAACTAGATCAGACTAGATCAATCTTAGACAATTGTAAAAATACACAAAATAGACATTTACCATATTAGACTAGACCAGTTCAAACTTTGAATCAAACAAGGCTTGAAAATTTCAATCCAATAAAAACATCCTTATTACTTATAAAATTGGATTATGTTGACTGACATATTTTGTGTGCGGCCTATTATTTTAAAGGAAAGAATTGTTGGTAGAATTTTTAAAATCTGAATGTAAAATATACAAGTTCGTTAACTTGTCTGAAACATTTTCTTTTTGTAAAATGGAATTATTCCGAACAACATTTTTGTGACCGAACTTTACAGAAAATATTGTCAATACAAAGAGTTTCGAAAAATGTATGAAAACTAGACAAGTTTTTGGTCAAAATTTTGTGTGTGTCCTCCTATACATTTATTTCCTGTTAAATTGGATTTTTCTGATCAAATATTTTATCTGTGGGCTAACTTCAGAGACAAAAATTATTGTTAAAGTTTTATTTTAAAATGTGTACAATAACATTACATTTGTAAGTGCCTGAAGTAACAATCTTAATGGTGTCAAAGTTACAAAAAATAAACAATGTTAGTTCAATTTTAACGGCGAGACCGACATGTAGAGGACAGAATACGAGTGGATTACATTTCAATATGAACAGTAAATAAAGGACTAACATGAGATCTCCCCTTTTAATTACTAGTAAGATTAATTAATATTCCGTACGATAGTGTTATTAACATGAGTGTTTTCTTCATTTTATGACCTTTTATTGTTATTACTCCCTCCTTCCCGAGTAAAGATTCCCATGTGATTTATGATGTTTAGCTGATCTTAAAGGCCACTGATCTTTGCAAGTATTAAGATTACTTTTAGTAAATAAATTTTACATATTCATAAATTACACTAAAAAACTTTAAAGTCACAAAAACACAAATTAGATAAAAGTTGAATATATAAAGTAAAAGATTAAGAAATATTTACGATGACTGGAGAATAGTAGACGATAACTTTTATGGAGGTATTTATACAATGATTTGCCTTTTATGATTCAAGTTCAAACTTTTTTAATTTGGTTTAAAATATGATTTTAGATTGGGCTTTTATATGGGTCAAATAGAAATCATAGTTGGTCCATAAGTTTGTGGGTTGGTTTGCTTCGACCCACCCATATGTGTGGCTAGTGAAATCATACTTCGTATTAGGGAACATGAGGATAAGTGTGGTTGTGGGACCCTTTTTTATTTCACGATAACTGAGAAGATTTAGCTTTTGTTGGTCTTTTGAATCGCGGTCCCACATAATTAAGGATTCCGGATTTTGTTTGTCCCCTCTACAAAGTTAATCAAAGAGATCTCACGTTTTTAAACAACTAGTCAACCATAGAAAGTTTGTGTGGGCCAATAGCCCAATACACGCGTTCACATACATGGTTCCTCCCCGTTTAAACTTGTTTAAGAGCCCGCATAGTAATTTTGTCTTTCGATTTATCAATTTTATCACTCAAATCTTTCACAAAACACGTAATTTTTTATTTAACGTATAGAGTTGTGTATTAATTAAAATAAGTAAGACTAGAATTATTTTTCTGACTAAATTGATTGAAGTTATTGTAGAATGTCATTATAACTTTTTTTTTTCATCTATTTTTTTCTTATTTAAATTCATGAAATATATTTTAAATATAATTTTTTCATAATTCCGAGAAGTAAATATGTTTCAACAGAATCAACCGATTAAGGGGGTGTTTGGATCTGATTCTTAAAACTGCTTCTGCTCCCTGGCTTCTGCTCCTTCAGGGAGCAGAAGCAGAAGTTAGAGTGTTTAGGTGAAAATGCAGAAGTGATTCTGGTGCTCTAAAATACTCCTAGAATCAGTTTTTATAGAAGATGGGGGAGACCAGCTTCTGAAAAGGGGGTTATTCTGATTATGCTTCTGCTTTAAAAAAGAAGCATAAGCAGAATCAGTTCCAAACAGTCACTAAGCCAATTCCAGTTTAACATACGAGTTCTAAGTATTATTACTCCTTCCTTTTTTCTTTGAAAAAGAGAAGATTTTATTGATAAAAAGTAAGGTTACAAAGCAAAAATAAAACAATACAGAAAAGGGGAAAAATAAGTTACAAAGCTAGGCCTAAGGAAATTGATTGAACTGAGACTTAGTCCACATGTTGTGACGCCTTTTGTGATGCCTTTAGTTGTGTGTTCAAGTTATTGGTTGGAAGACAATCATGTGAAATAATGAAATTAAATTTGTATAAATATCACTAACACTTTAAGCATTTTATAGCATGAAAAATATCATTCAACTCTTAGTTTAATAAATTAATTATTAAACAATAACAACACCAATAACATACTCCGTTGACGTTTTTAATTAAGATAGATTGAAGATGGTCGATTAATGATTTAGTTAGGTGGTTTGTAGTTATTTTAAAACTTTATATATAATGAGAATGAGGTGGAAATTCAAGTGAAAATATATTTGACACAAAAAAGTGAAACTTTGTACTGAGAACATTGTTTAATTACTATATTAAAAAAACATTGTTTAATTACTCTAATTAGTAACATTTGGGGATTAACAAATCTAATTAGAAGATTGAAAATAAAGACACTAAATATAAACAAATTGAAGTAACTACACAAACATGATTATCAAAAAATTCCTAATTAAAAGATATAACAAAATAAAGATATGAAGATAAAATATTTTAGTTTAAAATTATAAAAATGTAGAGTTCCATTATTTAAAAAGTACTTTTAAAAATGAATATATCAAAAGTATCTTTTTTCTTACAACATTTTTTGCAAAAACTTTTAGTAGGGTTATTGTTAAAAATCTAAGGCATGAATATAGTACAATATAGTACTCCCTCCGTCCCTCAATACTTTGTCATGTTTGACCGGCATGTGAAATAATAAAATAAAAATTGTGTGATTGAGATATGTGTAGAGGATCCGAGAAAGAAATAACAGGAACCACAAATTCATTGATTAAAAGGGAAAGTGACAAAGTTTTTGAGACATACAAAAAAAGGAAAGATTACAAAATTATAAGTGGCGGAGGGAGTATAACTTACACACATGCATAAATGAAAACAAGTAAATATAGTTTTACATCATCTTAAATGATAGTAATGCCATTTTCATTATGGAAAATAGTGTGATTAATATTTACAGATTCTTTATTTTGTAGATATATTTCAAATTCATAAAATGATAGTAAAAAGTTGTATAAAATAGTCATCTTAATATTTATATTAATTTTCACTAAATAGCACTAAAATTCTAAACTGATTAATTTTATCATCTTCATTAGACAAGAAAAATTATGAATGAAAGACTATTTTTGGTGATTTATATTAATTAATATATCTCTATCAATTACTGTGTATGTACTTGTAGTATAATTTTTTATCATGTTTTATTTTTAATACAATACACACATATTCACACTACATGTGCATCTTTTTTTTTTTGGAAAAAGGAATATTATTTATATACTACGTATAATGATAGAAGTAACAAGAAATAAAGTAATACAATAGCTTCATACTACACTAGGATGAGAGATAGAATCAACTTGGCCGGAAGGATCAATCAGATATGCTAACCCCACATCTATGTACACTAATCTAACAACAATGTTGAACTTACTACTCAAACGATAATTAAAAGAAAACAAATTATTCTTCAACAAAAAGAAATGAAATAACTCAAGCATTCTGGATTTACCAGTCACCGAAAATGGAGATCGAAGAGGTTTGACCAAGACCTCCAAGCTAAGTGCACCGCTACCTTGCCGTTTTTTAGTTCAACGTCATCTACTTCTATGTTGACTTGGATGTACTCCTCCACGGCGCATATCTGCTCGCATTCATGAACCGTAAGGTAGGCTTCTCCCAAAACAAAGGCCCCGAACAAGTGTTTGGGGGGCAATAGTAGTCAACTGTCAACATGTCTGAGCACTCCACAAACCAAATACAAATTTGAATGCCTCGCATACTTAAATTTTGCCCAAAACAAGTTATCTCCC